AGTTTTTTACTGTCTGGAACAGTTTTAAGTTTTAGATACAACTACAATCACAAAGGCTAATTCTCAGTCATTCCTGCACTGAGGTTTATTTTCTCTTTTTAGCTTTTGATTTTAATCCTACTTCATATAAGTGTATTGTGAATAATTATACATACTTGGGTAAGCATACTGTTTTGGGGTGATTGGAAGTAATGCTGGAGAATTCAATAAATTGCTAAATGAATTTTTAGAATGGCTTCAGATGCCTTGGGATAGGATTAGATGATCCAACTAAAGATCCCTTCTAACTTAGGGCTTATATTCTTGTATTGTATTTTGTATTTGTTGATTTAGTTCATTTTTCCCCCCACGGGATTTCTTGACTATACATTTGTCTTTTAACTTACAAAAAGTGTTTTGGACATATATTTTTGGTGACATATAAAATGGGATTCTGAGGTACTTAACAGTGAGTCAAAGAACTTTTTCATTTTTCTTCCTTTTGATCTTAACTAGGGAAAAGTAGTTAATTCTTTTATAACACTTACTAATTTCCTTTTTTTTTTTTAAAGATTTTATTTATTTATTTATTTGACAGACAGAGATCACAAGTAGGCAGAGAGGCAAGCAGAGAGAGAGGAAGGGAAGCAGGCTCCCTGCTGAGCAGAGAGCCCGATGTGGGGCTTGATCCCAGGACCCTGGGATCATGACCTGAGCTGAAGGCAGAGGCTTTAACCCTCTGAGCCACCCAAGTGCCCCTACTAATTTCCTTTTAAAAACTAAGAAGCCTTTCTTCATAGTCTAAGGCAGGCAGTGGTACTCAGAATTAAGTAACTATGGTTTTTGTGTGTGGGCTTCTTGTTTGTTCCCAGTATACTATTATCTTCTATTTATGGAACAATGTAGGCATTTTCCATTAGAAAAAAATTGAATTGGGGACGCCTGAGTGGCTCAGTCAGTTAAGTGTCTGCCTTTGGTTCAGGTCATGATCTCATGGTTTTGGGATCCAGTCCTACATCTGGCTCCTTGCTTAGCAGGAAGCCTGCTTCTCGCTCTGCCTGTTTCTCCCCCTGCTTGTACGTGCTCTCTCTCTGACAAATAAATTTAAAAAAATCTTAAAAAGAAGTAAATTAAGCAAAAGCGATTTGAATTCCTGGGATTTTAAAGTCAAAGTACAAGTGATACATAGTAAAAAGAGAAATCCAGCAGAAATATGCAAGAGGGGGGCACCTGGGTGGCTCAGTGGGTTAAGCCTCTGCCTTTGGCTTAGGTCATGATCTCAGGGTCCTGGGATCCGGTCCGTATTGGGCTCTTGCTCATCAGAGAACCCGCTTCCCCCTTCTCCTCTGCCTGCCTCTCTGACTACTTGTGATCTCTCTCTGTCAAATAAAAAACCAAAATCTTAAAAAAAAGATGTGCAAGAGTAGGTAAATAATTGAAGTATGGGAGTAATTCAGAACATTGAAGCTTTTTCTCCATTTTGTTAGTTTTTTATGTATATTTATTCAAGTATGTTGACTTATCGTTACCAGGTTTCCATGGATCTCAATAGCGCCAGCACTGTTGTTCTTCAGGTCTTAACACAGGCCACCAGTCAGGATACTGCTGTGTTAAAACCAGCAGAGGAGCAGTTGAAACAGTGGGAGACACAGCCAGGTTTCTATTCAGTGTTGTTGGTAAGTTGTTCTAAAATAGTTTACTATTCTTTTTAATAAGATAGACACTACTATTTTAATTGTTCTAAGAATCTACTTGTATTGGTAGTTTACTTTAGTGAAACTGATCTCAATGTCATTGCCACTCCCATTTATTAATTCAGGGCATGGCTCTTTGAAGTTGTTGAAATTTTTGTTGATTGTTGAATACATAATTGAGCAGGCTGTTGGTCGTTTTCTGATCGGAAGGCAACGCTGTGCTGCTACTCTTATTTCAGTATGTTAATGCTGACCTCAGGATTGTAGGTGGTACACGCTCGTTCATGTTTTGTCTTCCTTTTTGCCCCAGTTAATTTATGTTGTCAGAGTTGTTCAGGTCTCTCTGTGCAGCATCAGCCTGGTCTACCTGGCTCACTATGTTACTTTAAAACATGGTTTTCTTTTCCCCTTCTAAGAATTTCATTTTCTCGACACATTTGGTCTTTTCCTGGGTGATAATGGAAAATAGTATAGTAATTAACAATATATGCTTTAATTAAACTTTACTAGGAGTTCAAAGCTTTTGGTTAATCAAAATTATTTTCTCGATGCCAGAATAAAAGAATGTCTTTTTGTATTGAGGATCTTTCTTTTTTTCTTTTTTCTGAAAATTTTAGAACTCTGGTTAATGTTTGAGATTTGCTTTTGGCAAGGGCAAGGAGGCTACCAGTTGGATCACAAACTAATTGAGTTTAGGGACTGGGTTGCAAATGCAAAGTAAAACTGTTAACCGTATCTTGTGAAAATAGAAGAGTATAGAAGTTGACATATATGTTTTTTACTTCATGGCTAAAATATTTGAGTTATTTGGTAAACTTAGGACTATACTGGTCATGTCTAGAGTCATACTTGATATTCTGAAAATAAAATGAAATTTGGATATTCAGCTTAGAAAAAAGGTAAAAAAACCAGATTGCATAAAATTTTTTTTCTGGGAAACACTGATTTTTGAAGATACTAAGGAAAATATTCTATCCTTATTTAAATAATCCCAGTATCACTTTTGTAAAATTTGGGTGCAGTATAAATCTTTAGTATATTTCTGAGTATCCTTATTTTTCATATGCTTATTAAAATGAATATGCTGTATAATTAGTCTTGTGTTTTTTCAGGCCAAAATAGAAAACATTTCAGTGTTTCTTACTTTGGTTACTCCTGGACCTTAAAAAAAACCAATAGGCTTGTAACTATTGACTTTTTGTGCAATGTATGAATTATTAATAAGATTAAATGCCTAACTAAGCCTTTTGTTTTTATATTTATTAGCTCTACTTTTCTTCTTAGAGGGGTAGTAAAATAGCTTTTTAAAAACTTTAAAAAATATATTTTACTTACTTATTTGACACAGAGAGAGCACTAGTAGGCAGAGCGGCAGGCACAGGGAGAGGGAAAAGCAGGCCTCCCGCTGAGCAGGGAGCCCTATGTGGGGCTCGATACCAGGACCCTGGAATTGAAGGCAGCTGTTAAACCGACTGAACCACACAGGTGCCTCAGTAAAATTGCTTTAGATGGAGTAGATTGTATTTATATTAGATGGAAAACCTAAGTTAAAGGCAGTAATTTTTAGTTTTTTCCTCTATGCACTGTCTTGGCACTTTTAATCTGTTGTAGCCTTAGCTGTTCTTTCTAGTTTGGAGGTCATGAGGTTGTATATTTGATCCTCAGATTTGTGTTCCAGTTTTACTGTTCAAAATTACTTAAGGAATATTTCTACTTGGATTCACATCTGCAGCTTGACTTTTCTTCTTTACCTAAGTGTAGCCGAGACAGGCTGATACCCACCATCTTTCCATAGTATTCCCACATTACCTCCATTTATTTGTTCATTAGCTCCATGGATATTTATGACAGTCTATTGTGGAAGGTAGACATGTTAAGCGTTAAAATCGAATGTGATTAATATGGTGGGAGAAGTCCATTCTTTTCAAGGATGACCTAAAAGAAGATCTCTGACTAGTTGTCAGGGGTATTAAGGATTAAGTGGGCATTACACAACTATCCTTGTAATTCTTTTTCTTTCCTATATGTACATGATTTTCCAAAAATGGAATTATAGTATAGATACCTGTTATTGATAGTTTATATGTAGTGTTTTTCTGTGGAACATAAATCTACATTCTTGTTTTTGATTTTGATGTTTTCCCACACAAGGTTGTGTTTAAGAGGTCACCTCTGGGGATTTGAGTCTTTTTTGGTCTGAGGTATAGTGCAGTTTCAGTCAGTTACATATGTATCCACTATTCTAGGTTTTTTTTTTTTTTAAGGTACATTTTTTATAAGGAAATAAAACACTTTAATTCATCTATGTTATGTTTTAAATTACAGTGTTAATATCTGTTTTATTTCCATACACAAATATGTTAAAAAATTTTTGATAATGTTAAATTTTTGGTAAAAATGTGTAAAAGTCACAGAACAATTGTGATTTTTTTACCTTGATGATTAAGATCTTGTTGCATGTTTAGCTTGCATAGTCATTTTTATGCTTTCCCAGCCCTCCGCACAAACAAGGACTGCCTGTATTTGGGTTAATGTTCTGCTGTCAAACTTATTTGTAAGCATAATTGATAAGGAGGACACTTTGAAATAGTTCATTTCATAGCCTGTGCTAAGAACCCAGGGACTTTGATTCCTTAGAATCTTTGAATATATGCTCTGATGGGTATATATTTTTTTTAATTGAAAACATGTTTATTTCAGTGTTTTATATTTGTGTAGGTTGTGATACATGATTAGGTTTGTTTCTGAGTTTAATTTTTTAAAAAATGTTTTAATTTTTTAATAAACATATAATGTATTATTAGCCCCAGGGGTACAGGTCTGTGAATCACCAGGTTTACACACTTCACAGCTCTGAGTTTAATTTTTTATTCAAAATATTTTCAAACATACCTAATGGTAGCCTAGTTTAATGAGTCCCAAATATTTATTACTCACCTTAAAAAATTAACATACTTCTAGGTGTGCTTTCTTATGAACTGTAGAGCTATAAATACTTAGAATATATGATCGCTCTAGTGATAAAATTTAAGTGAAACATTTAAGTATTATCCATACTTCATTATGTGTATAGAATTTAATTTACGGCATGTTTATTTTAATATTATGCTTTTTATTTACAGAATATTTTCACAAACCACACTCTGGATATCAATGTAAGGTGGCTTGCTGTGCTGTATTTTAAGAATGGAATTGATCGTTACTGGAGACGGGTAGCGCCTCAGTAAGTTCCCTCACCCTTCCTTTTCCAGTGTAATCCTTTCCAGATTCAGGGAGGTATAAGAATGTTCCTGTTAATCTTTATTCTTTATGTGGCAGAATGCATTTGTGCTTATTTCAGCACACATACTAAAATTGGAACAGTGCAGGGAAGGTTAGCATGGTCCCCGTGTAGGATGACATTCCTGTTCGTGAAGTGTGTGGTATTTTAAAGAAAAATGTGTTAACTACTGAAGAAATAAATTGTTCTGCATAAGTCAGTGTTCTTATTAATGCTTTTCTCCATGAGCTTTTTAAAAAATTTTTTTTAAATTTATTATTATTATTATTTTAAAGCTTTTATTTATTCACTTGACAGAGATCACAAGTAGGCAGAGAGCCAGGCAGAGAGGGCGGGCGGGGGGGAAGCAGGCTCCCTCCTGAGCAGAGAGCCTGATGCAGGGCTCGACCTCAGAACCCTGGGACCAGGACCTGAGCCAAAGGCAGAGGCTTAACCCACTGAGCCACCCAGGCGCCCCTCCATGAGTTTTTTTATTTGGGAAGGGATGTTATGGATTTCTTGTCCTCTGCTTTTGAGGATATCTAATATTATGGGCAAAGAACAAATGCTGAGTTGAATGAGTCATGTTGAAAAAGTCTTTTTTTTTTTTTTTAATAAGAGAAGTATGAACTTATGATTTAAAAAAAAAAAGTCATTGAGAAGTAAATCCCAGGTCATTTCTGAGCCAACTAGATGTTAATTTCCAAGTCTTCTGCATAATTTTCTTTGTGGTAGAAATGGGGTAGTAGACATTTGTAATCTCATCAGATTCAGTTGCAGTTGTTCCATAGATGGTTAAGCGAACAGATTTCTCTTAATAGCTAATTACATGTTATATAGTTGTTGGAAATACAATGTAGACATGGCTCTGAAATTTGTTTTTGATGGTGAACTTTGCCAAAGAGGTAACATTGTCTCTGTTTTCCAGTAGATGGCACTGTAGCTCTTTATGTTCTACATTTGTTAAGTCCTTTAAAAAACCATAAACCTTTCAAAGGACTTCAAGGTGCATATAAAATATGCCCTTGAATAATATCAGAAGGACCTAGAATGTTTTATGGCTGCACTTAGGATACTGTAATGTAATGCAAACCCTTTGTCTTATTTTAGAATTCATAATTTTGAGAGAAAGAAATGAAGTATTTAGTGATGAGATTGTGTGTGACATAGTTCACTACTGGAACCATCCTGTGCTGCATACTACTTTCCTGCTGTGTCTAGTTACATTTTAGGTGGCTCCCAAAGTTCATTTCGTTCTTGCAGTTTTATGGAGAATATGGTTATAAATGACAGTTTTGGAAGGGAGCGTAAATTATGATTAAATATTTCAGATTGTACTTTCACGTAAGGAATTAGAAACTGGAATTTAGTTTATATTTTGAGATAGAGGCCAGAAAGGAGATGAATGCACCAACGGAGCAGGTAGGAATGTGCTTAGAAAGAGAACAAGGGAGCAAAAATTAGTTAAAGAACTCATTTAAATATAGCACACTTAAAGCATCTGCTTATTTGTGTTCTTGTCGAAGTTTTATCTTATGTTGTTCATGCCTCTACCACTATTTTCACGGAATGTGGATTAATTTAAGCTTATATATTATTACTATAAATAGTGCAATTTTAACTGGATCCTAATTAATTAGATATTCTACAGTTTCTGCTTGGAGGATAATCTGAATTCATCTGATGATAGTAAGTGTATGAAATTAATGGTGCATTATTAACTGTTTTCTCTAGATTAATGGCTTGCTTCTTTATCATGTATGTATGTTTTGCATATTCACTTTCTATTTTGGTAGCTAATCATTATATTCTCTTCGTTAAAATTTTGAAAACTCTTGAACCTGGCTTCCTGACCTAGAAGAAAACTTGAATTTCAAGACTGAAGCCAAAGATTTTAGTAGAAAACATGACTCCGTGGGTTTGATGATAGATGGGAGCTCTCAAAGTTGGAAAGTACTGCACAGTTCTTCTTAAAGAGATTTTCTCTCGTGGGGAAGCACAGACTTCCTTAGGCATTCATTCTATTCACTTGAATGTTTATCTTAATCTTGTTTGCTCATTTGTTTACTCACCTTAAATAAATCCCTGTCAAGGTTTAAAAAAACTTTTATGAAGTGTAATACATAACATAACTAAAAAAGTGCGCAAATGGTGGTACAGTTAGAATGTTGGTAATGTGGCCACATCCATGTAACTGTCCCTTGGAACCAGGTGAAACAGGACTGCTGCCCGAGCAGTCTCCCGCCTGCCCCTCGCTGTCACCTTTGCGCCCACTCTCCAGCAGCATTTGACATCTCTCACCACAGATTGGCTTTACCTGTTTCTGAACTTCATACAAATGGAAATCTTACCTTATATGTTGTTTTTGTGTCTTTTATTCAGTATTACATGTGTGAGATTTATCCGTGGAGTTGCACGGAAATCTCACTCTTAGGTACGAGTAAAACATTCCATATTAAGACCATCACATATCTGTTTGTTCTCCTGTTGATGGGCATTAAGGTTGTTCTTAGTTTTTGGCTATTAAAAATAGTGCTTCCTTGAAAACTTGTGCATTTCATATTGCACGTAAGAGTGCATTTTATTGTCCTGTATGGTCAGATGTCTATTCAGCTTCAGTAGATGCCGTCACTTGGTTTTCAAAGTGTTAGTATTGATCTCCACTCGCACCAGCAGTCATATCAGTGTCGGCCTTTGCTCCACATTGTCCTAGCATGCTTGGTCTTACCTGTCATTTAGGTAGCCTTTCCATTTTTCTGATGAACAGCGAGTACCCTTTTCATATACTTATTATTCATTTGGATATCCTCTTTTATGAAGGGCCTGCCATTTGTACATAAAAAAATGGGGTTTCTTACTGATTTGTGAGACTTTGTCTATGTTTTAGACTTAGGTCCTTTGTTGGAACTACGTATTGAAAATATTTCCTCTTGCTTTGTCATGTGCCTTTCAGTTTCTTCTGTTTTTGGATGAAGAGAAATTTTTAATTTTAATGAGCTTCAAATTAGCTAGTTTTATATTCTTTTGGGGCCCATTTAGAAATATTTTGTTCATTCCAAGATTATGAAAATAATCTGTGTTTTCTGCTAGAAGCTTGCTTTATGTTTCCCATCTCTATGTATATTATCTCTCTGGAAGTGATTTCCTCGCCAGGTGTGTATGCGAAGGAGGGGCAGCAGCAGTCACTCTTGCCCTGTCCAGTTTCATTGGTTCCCTTGTTAGAAATCAGGCATCATACCTGTAATGATCGGTTTTGGGATTCTCTGGTTTGTCCTCTGGTGTTTCTGTCTTTGCTTTAGTTGTTATACTTCATAAGCCTTGATTACTTCCTATTACTTTTTTGGATTTTATTTGCAGTTTTCTAGTTTTTTTTAAATGGAAGCATCAGTCACTGATTTTTACTTCTTATGTATGCATTTGAAAGATGAGGGCTTTTCTTGTAATCTTAGGTTTAACTCAGTTTTGTTACAATTCAGTTAAAAGATACTTTAAAATTCCTCCTGTGATTTCTTTTTAGACCCAGGGGTTAATTAGAAATATATTGCTTAATTTCTGGCATGTGGGGCTTTTTTGTGTGTGTGTGTGTGTTTGTTTGTTACTGATTTCATTCTTTGAAATTTGCGGTCTTGTTTAGTAATCTCAGCATATGGTATTCTGGTAAATGTTTTATGTGCCTCTGAGAGCAATGTGTGTTTTGCCATCGTGGATTGTAATGTTTGATATATGTCAGTTAGGTCACATTTATCACTTTCACTTCTTCTGTATCCTTATTGTTTTTGTTGCTACTTTTCCAACATTTTCTGAGGGAGGTAGGTTAATCTCCAGGTATGATTATGGACTTGGCTATTTTGTTCTTTACATTGTGTTTTTGCTCTCTGTATGTTGAGGCTCTTCTATTCAAGTCATATAAGTTAAGGGTCATTATGTTTTTGTGGAATTGACCTTGTCCTCAGGAGATGTTCCTCTTTATATCCAAATAATAATCCAAAGATTATTCACAAAATTTTTTGTTACTAAATTTTTCCCCCAAGGACACTTTTATTACCCAACTGATTTTTTTAGAGCTTTTGATAAGTATCCTTGACTTATTAGAGCCTATCCTTATATTAGTAGTTTACTTTTTCTAGGTAATATAAGAACCTCATAATACTTTGACTCCATTTATGCCTTCCTATCTTTTACTTTTGTTATGGTGGAATACTTTAATTCTACATATATTTTAAACTCCACAACGTACTGTTTTTGTTTTTGTTTTTTAAAGATTTTATGTATTTGACAGAGAGATCACAAGTAGGCAGAGAGGCAGGCAGAGAGAGGGGGGAAACAGGTTCCTTCCTGAGCAGAGAGCCTGATGCGGGGCTCAATCCCAGGACCCTGGGATCATGACCTGAGCCGAAGGCAGAGGCTTAACCCACGGAGCCACCCAGGCGCCCCTCCTGATTCAGTTTTGAGACATTACATATTTCTAGGAATTTATCCATTTTCTTCTAAGTTGTCCATTTTGTTGGCAGTTAATTTTTCATAATGTTCTCTTTTAATATTTTGTATTTCTGTGGTGCTGGTTATTCTCATTCATTTCTTTCTTTTTTTTTTTTAAGATTTTATTTATTTATTTGACAGAGATCACAAGTAGGCAGAGAGGCAGGCAGAGAGAGAGGAGGAAGCAGGCTCCCTGCTGAGCAGAGAGCCCTATGTGGGGACTCAGTCCCAGGACCCCTGGGATCATGACCTGACCCAAGGCAGTGGCTTTAACCAACTGAGCCACCCAGGCACCCCTTCTCATTCATTTCTGATTTTGAGTCCTCTCTCTCTCTTCTTTTTCTAGTCTGGCTAGAGGTTTATCAGTTTTGTTGATCTTTTCAAAGAATGCCCTGTGGCTTCATTGATGTGTTCAATTTTTTTTTAGTTTCTATTTCATTTATTTCTGCTCCAGTCTTTACTATTTCCTTCCTTCTGCTGGTTGGGGTTTTTGTTTGTTTGTTTTCTAGCTCTTTTAGATGTAAGGTTAGGTTACTTATTTGAGACTTTTCTGGCTTCTTGAAGTAGGCCTGTGTGACTATAAACTTCCCTCCTAGAACAGCTTTTGCTGCATCCCAAAGATTTTGGACCATTGTGTTTTCATTTTCATGTTTATGCATTTTTTTTATTTCCCCTTTGATTTCTTAGTTGAC